TCAATATTAATCATCTAAATATCTAGATTTTCCATTTAGATACACCATCCCAATGTTTTCATGTTTCATGCATTGTAAAAATACTATACTGCTTATCTATTTTATAACATCTATCTATAGCATCTTTTCTGATCAGTTTATATTTCATTTATATTTGTAAAAGTTAATTTTTTAAATCACTATATATCCTATTTTCAAAGTTCTTATTTAAGCTTAATTTTCCCTCAGTATTTCAGTCATTCCTAAGTCCTAATTCTCTAAAACTTAATTTACCTTTAAATTTCAAACTTTTCATTCACATACATCATCCCAATATTTTTACATTTTATATATTGTGAAAAATACTATATTACTTATATCTCTTATCCCTCTTATTGTAAGACCCGTATATCCAAAGTTATCTGTTCTTTTAACCGTATTCAAATAAGTGTTTGCTCATGTAATACTCCATCTGGTAGGGTGAGTCAAATCTCTTGAATTTGTCTCTGGTCGTCTTCTTTTTCCAAGTAGCTTTCCAAGTTGATATATTCCACTTGCCAGGAAGTTCTTGTATTTTTGTAAGTATTATTGGGAGTGGAGAAGATAGGATGAGTAGAATATATGCTTTTTATCTCTCAAACTGTAATGGTTCTCCTGGGAGTTCTATAGTCCATTTTGTTAAATCTTCTTTCTTATTCTCAAGTTTATTTTGATGTTCTGATGAATAAAGTATCTTTTCCATTTTTATTGTTATGTCAAGATCTTGTAGGTTTTTTCCTATTTGTGTTAAATTATAATTCTCTTCATTTGTAGCTTCGCTGATTAAATCATTTTCTTCTAGTTTATATTCTGTTATCTGATTTGTTTGCTCATTCTTTACCATCATTTTCTGAGTGTTTTTTGATTGTGGGTTTAGATAAGAGATGTGCTCATTTATGTCATCAAAGTTGTTTTTTATCTCCTCATGGTTTAAATCTATTGTCATTTGTATCTGTCATAGCATTATATACGTTTCCTCCTGGAAAGTATTTGTCTTGTCTTGAACTGTTGCTTCTGGAGGTCTTTGATATTCCAGGCTGGGTCCTTCAGGAGCAAGTATTAAATGTGGTTTTCTGTCATTTTTTTGATAAGTATGCAATATCCATGTTAGCTCCCCCTTTCAAATAGTCTTTCATCAATGCCATAGTCTCTATAATTAGCCTTATCAAACCAGTCAAACTCTGAATCCAAACAGCCCAATTTTGTATAGTTGATTTCAACATTTTTTTCCCCTTAAAGGTTAATTCGCCACTTTCGTCTATGAGGGGGTTCGTCGCTTTCGGAGGTTTTCTTAGTTTGGGCATCTTTCCCAAGGACTTAGTTACAGAGTAGATGAGAGAAGATTGATACTCTAACCAGTTCCAAGCATGCTGTTCACCGTTGTTCTGGTTCATGCTCTTGGATTGCTGCTGCAAGTAGCTTGGGCTAGACGCTGGTGTGCAGGTAGCCTTTCTCCTGTTGGGTTAGAGGGCTTCCCCCGGATCAAATGGAATGACTGCCATCGTTCTGTGATCATTGGGGCGCCCCTCTTTCTTTGTCGCCTCTCCATGGCAACTTCAGACCCATTTAGGGTCCCTGGCAGGGTGAAATCAGCCGTGGGGTGTGGAACTCCGCAACCCCGTGCGCTATGGCGTAAAAACCAGAAGTTCCTACCTTATACCAATTTACTTAATAGTTCTGTGGAATACAATGGGCATTTACTGTATATAGCTCATATTGCTGATTCAAACATGGTGGAAACAAGTACTATTTTAAACGATCCCATTACTGCCGTTGTCAAAGTTCCGAGTAGTAAGACGTGGTTTAAAACATGCACTTTAAGAATGTCTGGGGGGAAAGGTCAGCAGACTCCAGATGAGTAAGAGCATGCAAGAAATTACTAATAACTCGACCTATTTCAGTTCACAGAAAAGCAACTGTTCATTTTTACTGCTTTGGTATTGCATTACACATATAACAAGACAATTTATATAAATCTCCATCCTTCTGCCCCAGGATGGCAATCAACATATTGTTGCATCAGAAACCAAATAACCACTATTCAGGCAAAGAATTATTAAGAAACAGGATCAGAGGTATTAATCCTTGCTATTAGGCTTCAGGATTTTAAAAATAATATCACATAAAGATACTTACATAATTTTTCCTGTGGAAAATAATAAGAAATGGATGCTGGCAATTGTATAGTAAGATTTTAAAAACCACTAATAATTACTATACTTTTTAAATTTGGCTTGTAGTATAACATTTTTGCAATTGTCTGCAAATAAATTTAATAATGGATCATATGTTATCATTTAAAATCTATTTATAAATTCAATAGAAATTACATATTGAGAATTTAAAGTGCAGTAAATAGTAACACCATTCTAAGTGTTTACATGTGTCTTTTCCATAAGCTGTATTTTGCTTTCTTTGTTACAGAATTTTGATATGAGATATAGGAATTTATTTAAACATGCTGATTTGATGATAAATTCCATTAACTATAAATGAAATTACTTCTGACTAAACATATTTGTCTATATCATCCCAATTCATTGGATTATATAGGAGTTACTATAAAATAATATTTTGTCAATTTTTCAAATGTGTTTGAATTCTTACTATTATATATATTAGGTTATTATGTTCATTTATGTTCATTTTGAATGAATATCAGTATTAAGACTGCAAATTTAAGCACATTTACTAAATGACTAAAACGTAAATCAACACAGTGGGTTTTATTTATTTTTCTTTATCAGAGTTATCTCTGCATTAAACCTTAATAGACCTTAAGATTGCATTTTAAGAGATATGAACATTAATTAACGCTAATATTTCTCCAATAGCCATAGTTGAATAAAAATAGTTGTTCATAATTATTATGTACAAGACTTTCTTGATTGCTGTTTTATAGCACCTGTAACTAATTTACTGTCAATATTCTGATCATTATTGAATCCATTCCATTTACCAAAATTATCTTTAAAAATCATATCATACCCAGTTTTATTTCCAAGAGACAATCAACAGAGGAAATATAAAATCTGGTTTCAGTTACGATGTTAAAAAGGAGTGTTTGAAGAAAATAAATCAAACACTGCTTCAGAAAACCCATTAAGGATATGCTAACTACTTTCAACATTGTTTATAAAACAATGTTGAAGGATTTCTTATCATGACTGCCTTTATAGTATGCTACATTTCATTTGATTGGTTTTATATAATGCATAGTCCATTTATTATATTCAGCAGAAAGATCTCTTGACTGAGCCCATTGTATTCTCTTCATTATACTAACTTCAAGGAAAAAGGAAAAAGAAAGCAGGTATCTGTACATGAACAAGAAAAACAAAAGAAAAAAAACTGAACAGATAAAAAATGAGTAGGATAAGTGAAAGCTTTATAAATGAAAGCAGATATATAAAATTACAAGCTGTCAGATCAGCAGCAGAAATGAAGATGATAAAGTGCCTCCCACTATCAATTATAATTATTCATTTTGCCCTGTCCTGCAACTTGTCCTCATAAACCTCTTCAGATAATGATGGAAAGGCACCAAATGATGACTCACATTGAAGAAGAGAGGGACAGAATCATTCTTCTAAATGTCCAATTCTGTTAAACAGCCATTATATTTCTATGGTTTTCAATTAGTTGCAGTGATTTTCCCATGTTCTCCAAAAAGATTTCTCTCTAAGATTTTTAATTAATGAAAAAAGTATTGTTTATATAACTACCTTTTAAAAAAACAATTGAAGTTATTCCAAAATATGTTTACAAAATAATAATACCTATGTATGATTTGTAGGGCAAATAATTTTAGAATAATAATCATAAGCTGCTTAGACAGATATAGGTCAAGATTTAGGCTGCACTATAGAATTAAAGTAGCTTATATAGTATGTAAACAGGTACCTAAAGATACGCACTTAATTTTACTTAAAATTTTGTTTAATTTTCCTACCATGCCAGATAAAGACAGTCAAATGGCAACTTGGCTTGCTTTCTAGAACTAGAAATCTAACAAAATTTAATTTTAAGAGAGGTGTGGATGATGTTCTGTGTTCTTTATGAATAGAAAGAAATCAGGTTTGTTTTCAATTGTTTGGAAAGTAAATGTATTAAAAGAAAGTAATGCTATATTTTTGATGATATTATTATTACGTTAATCCAGTTTAGAATGAATTGAAATCAAGAGATTAGTAATGCTGAGTCCTAGTTTTGTTAATGGTATTGTATATTTAGAACATATCTAGAATACTTTAAACAAATTGGATGTGTTTAATTAGAATTATTTGTTCTGTATTAAAATGTTTAATTTCCAATTTCAAGTCATAATTGGAAAAGGATAAATTGGCATTGGCTTTATTTCAGCAGAATTATCATAACTTTTATATTTATTTTATCTACAAATAAGTATAGTTTAAAATATCACCACCGCTATCCCAAAATGATAAAGCATTCTGATATTATCAATTCTCTTCCTCCTCCTCCTCCTCCTCTTCCTCCTTTTCCTCCTCCTCCACCACCACCACCACCTCCTCTTCCTCCTCCTCCTCTTCCTTCTCCTCGTCCTTCAAATTACTTAATATTTTAATCATGGGGATGATGAAATATAACCTGTCTTTTCTTTATTTGATTAACAAAATATTTATAAATAATTTAAAATTTTATTTATCTCTCTGGACCTATTCTGCTGGAGCAGGGTTTGCCTTCACACTCTGCCTGCATGCCAGAGGTTCTAGATTCAGCTGTCTCTTTGCTGTCTGGAAAGAAGCCCTTTCCTACTACATTTTGAGATGCATTCCACCAAACATTTTTTCCTTTCTGTACGTATCAGTTTTACCCTACCCCTGGTTTTTCTCTCTTCTCTTTTTTTCTGAGTTTATCCTTTTTTTCACTTCTGCCTCATAAGGAAATGCCAATTAACTCTTGAATATGTTTATAGTCAAGCAACTACCAGCCATTTCATTACAGTTTTTTTTTTCTTGTAGTGATATCAAGTAATTATCAGACTTGCTTGGGCCTTCTGATGCATTATCCACCTATCGGAGATGTTCATTCATTAATCTTGAAAGCCCTTTTTCTCAGAGATCCAAAGGTAAGTTACACTAAATTTTGTCAATTGCCAAATTTTAATATTACTAATGGAACACCCCAAATAGTATTAAACAAGTAAAATTGAGAGCAAGAAAGTGGAGTGATGTGTTTTTTTTAAGTTTTTTATTAATAAAACAGTTAAAACAAAAAAGGACATAACGTGTCGTTCCAGTATATATAATCCTAACAATTTGTTCCTTGTCATACATATAATTCCTAATCTCTATATATACATATTTTCCTATATAATACAATCTCAAATTTGTTTCTCTATATATTAGCATACAATTTTATATACCACAATCTTAACACTAATTTAAAACCCGAACAGTTCTCCTTGACTTGTACCAGCAGTAAAATTTGTCCCAGATTTCAAAATAGTCCGTTTCTGTCTTGTCCTTTAATTCCATAGTAAGCCTATCCATATCAGCACACAATAAGATTTTATATAGAATCTCTTCTTCTGTTGGAATTTCTTTGTTTCTCCGGTTTTGTGCGTAGGCCAATCTGGCAGCCGTGAAAATATGTAACATTAAATAAAGTGCCCCTTTATCGTATTTCTGCATGGTAATACCTAGTAAGACGAGTTCTGGTTTTAACTCTACCTGTCATTAGTATTTCTTTTAGCCATTTTTTAACCTTGTTCCAAAAGTCACGGGCTTTCGGGCACTCCCACCACATATGATAATATGTCCCTCTTGCCAAATTACATTTCCAGCACATAGGGGAAATGTTTGGGCCCATTTTAGCTAGTCTTGCGGGTGGGTAATGTCATCTATAAAACATTTTGTAAAGGTTTTCTTTGTAAGATGTGGCCAAGGTGAGCTTCCTATTTCGTGCCCATAGTTCTTGCCAGATATGCAGATCAAAGTTGAGATCAAAGTCCCTACTCCACGTTAACATGGTTTCTTTTACCTGTTCTTCGTACATTGCCTGATGTAACAAATAATGATATAACTTTTTAATCATTTTATCCTCAGTACCTAATAGTATTTTATCCAACTCTATCAATTCTATTTTTATGCCTAATTCTTTTTTGTCTTTCCAATATCTCGCCTGTAATTGAAGGTATGCCCACCATTCTAATTCTATCCCTTCGTCTTGAAGAGTTTTCCTGGATTTCAATTCCCCTTTCTCATCTAGTACATTTTTATATGTTATAATCTTCCCTAATTGAATAAACTTTGGATGTACATATATTTCTAATGGTGAGATCTAGCCAGGGACTTGAGTATAGTTTGATTGCCAGGTTTTGACCCATACATCAATTAAAGCCCATCTAATATAGTGCCTGCGAAAATATTTATGTGACCTATATTTCTAGTCCCATAGCATAGCATGCCATCCTATTTGTAAGTCATGACCTTCCAAACATAGTAAACTCCTGTTCTTCAAAAGTATCTAATCCCGCACCCATAGTAAAACTATGGCCTCATAGTATTTTTCCATGTCAGGGAGGCCAAGTCCCCCCCCTCTCCTTCTAATCTTGCAATAATTTTAATTTGATCCTTGCTTTTTTTCCTTGACAAATAAATTTGAGAATAATTTTGTTAAGGTTTTGAAAAAATTCTTATGCAATTTTATGGGTATACATTGAAACAGAAATAAGATTTTCGGTAACACATTCATTTTAATTACAGCTATTCTGCCCATGAAGGAGAGCTGTAAGTTGGTCCAAGTATCTAAATCAGCTTTAATCTGTTCAATTAGTTTATCATAATTGTCTTTCTTAAATGTAATGCATCTAGCGGTTAGTTGTATCCCTAAATATCTTATTTTATTTGTAATTTGAATACCTATTCTATCAGCCAATTCATTTTTCTGTACTTTAGTCATGTTTTTGACAAGCATTTTAGTTTTTTCTTTATTTATCTTCACACCTGCTATTTCCCCAGATTTACTCAATACTTCCATCAATCTTATCCCTGATTGCAATGACTCTTCAATTATAAAAACTAAATCGTCTGCAAAAGCTTGCGTTTTAAACGTTTCTTTCTTGATCTCTAAACCTTTGATCTGTCTATCTTTTCGAATTACTCTGATCAATGCCTTTAGGGATAATATAAACAACAATGGCGATAACAGACAACCTTACCTTGTACCTTTTTGAATTGGAAAGCTATCGGTCATTTCTCCATTAATTATTACTTTCGCTGCCTGATTAAAACAGACTGATTTAAACATATTTATAAAGTTTTCCCCAAAGTCCATATACGACAATTGGTTAAACATAAAATCCCATTTCACATTGTCGAAAGCTTTTTGTGCATCAAGAAAGATTAAACTCATTTGCTTTTCATTGTGCACCTCATAATACTCCAGTATATCCAAAACAATCCTAACATTATTTCTTATGTATCTTTTTGATAAAAAGCAATTTTGATCAGAGTGTATAAAATCTGCTAGAAATCTTTCAAGTCTTTGCGCCATTATAGCCATAAAGATCTTATAGTCTGAGTTTAATAATGAAATGTGTCTATAGTTTTAATATGCGCCAGGTCTGCGTTTTCCTTAGGAATCAGAGTAAGGACAGCTTCTTCCCATGAAGTCGGTATTTTAGCTTTTGTTAAGACCTCATTAAATAGTTCCAACATTATTGGGCTTAAAAGTTCTTTTTTTTTTTAATTGAAAATTTTTAAAATTTTTACAATATAACTCCCCACCTCCCTCATACCCCACCCTTTCCCACCCCCTCCCTTCCCCCCGGGTTTACAATACAATAATTATATTCTGTCTTAAATTATATTATCCTTAAATTAACAATTCTATAACATCCCTTAGCTCTCTTCTAAACTGACATATTAAACATCATTATTACAAATTATTTAATTTTAATAAAATATACTACATTAACAAGCACAAATTACTCAAAAACCAAATGAAACTTTTTAGTTCCATATTTCTTTTCTATATAATCTATCCATCTTCTCCAAACCAGTATATATCTTTCTTGTGAATAATCCTTCACATAGGCTGAAATCTTAGCCATTTCTGCTAAATTTGAAACTTTAAATGCCCAATCCTCTATAGTAGGCAAATGATCCGTTTTCCAACATTGAGCTATTAATAACCTCGCAGCAGTTATCAAATTCAGCATCAATTCCATTTCTTT